GGGGGTAATAATCGCCTAGTATCTGTTGGTGGGACGGTCCTCTCGATGCCAGTGGGGTATTAAATCTGGATAATTGTCGTTGGGGTAGAAGGGAAGGGGGGCTGAATTTGTAAAGTGGGCGGCGCCGGACCGACTGAGTGACGGTTTGTGTAATGAGCGGCGCGGTGGGAGTTTATATATCTGGGAGGGAGGACGCACGCCGCGCTTCATTCACCAGTAATAAGCCCGAGTGATGAGCATCCGCGGCGCACTGACGCACCCGAGCTCAGCACCAAAACAAGTCCCTGCGAAGCCTCGGCGGAGTGGCGCGTTGTGGAGGACAGCGTCACGCGAGGAGACGGGAGGAAGACGCGCGGATTGTGTGGATACTGGTCCTTCCATCACCTCTGGATAACTTGGAGCTTGGAAACGCTTCTTTCTCTTTTTACGCACGGCAACGAGGAGCTACTGAGAACACCCCCCTTGGAGTGGAGGATTTATTTGTGTTTTACTTTTATTATATTTTATTTTTTTTAATCGTTTGCCTTGGTGTGAATAGGAATAAGAACACTTTGTTGTTTTAATTGGTGACGCGGCTGCCCAGGAGGGGAAACAGAAAGGATGGCAGCCTGGTTCACTTTTACCATCGCTTTCAGCACCACGTTATTATCACAGGTATGAAAGAAGGGATCCATTACATGTGGAGGTCCTGAATATAAATTTAAAAAAAATAAATTTTAAAAAAGATGGAGGCCCTTTTTTTAATTTTCAAATATCCATTCTCCTTTTAGGTGTTCGGTTCGGGAGTTTTTGAGCTGGATCTGCACGAATTCACAAACCACAGGGGTTTGCTGGCGAACGGGAACGCGTGCCGGCCCAGCTGCAGGACTTATTTTCGGATTTGCTTGAAGAACTATCAGGCCGTGGTGTCGCCGGGGGACTGCATCTTTGGGAGCAGGGTGACGCCGGTGCTGGGGACGAACTCTTTCAGCGCCAAGGACGACGCTGGCACTTTACAGGGACCCATTCGGATCCCGTTCAAGTTCGGATGGCCGGTAAGGGCGTGTGGAGCGCACGCGTAAAAACAAAAAAACACTTTTTTATAGTCTTTTATTCTAAGCGGTGTTTTTGTCTTCGGGAACTTGCTGCGCGTTTTAGGAGCGCACCGTTTATTGGGCGGCTCWTCTAATCCATGTTTCGTTAGGTAACACTCCGCTCTGCAGACATTCAGCTCTCAGAACAAGAAAACCATGAGTGATCACCCTTGCTCCTTTTGTCACATGGAGCTAAATATCACAAAAACAGAAAATATGCACGTGTCTCTACCTAAATGATCAAATAAATCTGTTATTATTATTGTTA